TGCAGTTTGACACTCAACAGTCCATTCAAAATCTTGTGAAGCACGGAGCATATTGGTCAAAGGCAACACAACATCTGAGAAGTTTTTGCAAAATCCCCGGTAATAACCAGTCATTCCTAAGAATCTTCTAAGATCACGTTTCGTGCGGGGCACTGCAAACTCTACAATAGCTTGCACTTTTAAGGCAACAGGTCGAACTTGACCCTGTCCCACCTGTTTCCCCAGGTAGGTAATAGTTGCCTTGCCAAACTCACATTTAAGTAAATTAAGTGTGAGAGATGCCTTAAGCAAACGATCAAACACAGTACTCAACAGCTACTCAACGGACATCCTACCAGAAGGCAGACAGAATGAAAGAGGGAGAAGAAAAAAAAACACGTACACACACACAACATGGCAAATACAAGAAACGCAGGTCGTAACACACATATAAAACAGGGTCAGGTGAACCTGAAATCAGCCTAATTATACCAATTTTTGCAACATTTTGCAAAGTTGTCATGTAAAAGTTGCATGTCACAGCTCAGGATAGTCACTAGTGAAGGTTTTGAGAATGTGTTTATGGTTCTAGTGGTACCATAAGCCAACTTTCAGTTGTCACATGGTCATTTAGGTATTGCTTAGGTGATTGGCTCAAAAACAAATGTCAGTAATTGCCCTTCCAAAAATTAACCATGGTTTCACTACAAATAAAAACAAAACAAAAAAAACATGGTTATTGCAGTTAAACCATGTTAACAACAAATTGGTTCTGCTACACTAACCATGGTACTTTTGTAGTAAAACTGTGGTTATACAATTGGTAATCAATCTGCCAAAAAATGATGGTTACTACACTTTTGCTATAATAAAACCATGGTTAATTTTTGTAAGGGTGCTAACTAATAGCTTTTGCTATTGAGATGAAGGAAAAATATGAATTATTGCAGTTAAACCATGTTAACAACAAATTGGTTCTGCTACACTAACCATGGTACTTTTGTAGTAAAACTGTGGTTATACAATTGGTAATCAATCTGCCAAAAAACGATGGTTACTACACTTTTGCTATAATAAAACCATGGTTAATTTTTGTAAGGGTGCTAACTAATAGCTTTTGCTATTGAGATGAAGGAAAAATATGAACTGATAACCTGATAACCTTTTCCGCTGAGATGACTAGAAATGCAAACCAATAGCTTTTAGCACTAAAATTAATAGAAATGCTAACCGATAACTTTTGTTGCTGAAATGAATAGAAATGCTAACCAATAGCTTTTAGCACAAAAATTTATAGAAATGCTAACCGATAAGCGATAACCTTATCCATTGAGATGAATGGAAATGTTAACCAGTAGCTTTTACCACTGAAATTAATAGAAACGCTTATCAGTGACTTTTAATATGGATATAAATGTTAACTGATAGATTTTGTCACTGAGATGAATGGAAATGATAAACAATGGCTTTTACCACTGAAATCGATGGAAATGCTAACCAATAACTTTTGCTGAGAGCCATTAAGATGAATAGAAATACTGATAGATTTTACTACAGAAAAAAAATGTAAGTTAAATAGATTTAGCCATTGAGATGAATGAAAAACGCTAAAGGATAACGTTTGCCATTGAGATGAATAGTGATAACTTTTGAAAATATGTATTTTTTTCTCATTCCTATTACTGTATAAACCTCCTTTGGATGAGTGCTAGGCTTCATCTGGCTCCAAAGGTCCGTACCGTGTAGTGAGGCGAGTAAGGTCTCATTATTGAACAAAATTTCCTGACCTGTACTATCCAGTCAGGAGACCCAGAAGATCACCAAGACCCTGTGTTACCTAAGGTATTACCCAAATTATTATGAACGGGGTCAGACAGGTGAGCGCTACAATCTCTTTCAAGTTTGTCCTCTTGAACTAAAGGAGCTCACGGATTTAATTGAAAGGAACTGAGCTTTGGTGCCCAGATTGAAGACAGTGAATCAAATACACACACTTCAAAGAGGTTTCCCACCTGTCAGGTTTGCTGTGCCTCTCCGCTGAACAGAAATATTGTATTACTTGTTTGCCCAACATTTTTCTCAGTGCTTTGAAGTGATCTGTAATTAAAGATGATTAATTGAAGAATTCAGCCCGTGTCCCACAGAGAGAGACGAGAACCCAAACGTGGGTGAATTGGGATGATCTAATTCTCCTGCCTCTTCAAGAAGAATACGTTAAATGTGTAGATGAAATAAGGATAGTACTGTAAAATCAAGCAAAAAGCCCCTGTAATGAAAAGTCAGAGTCACAGAAGTCGTAGAGAAAGGATCGCCTTTCTAGAAAAGGCCACTTGATATGAAGCAGGACATTGGAAACTCTCTTTTGTCTGGCTGTGTTTATTTCTGAAGTTCTCTCCTTTGTGCTGGAAGACATTAATTTAATGTGATAAGGAGCGTAATGGGATTCTGACATGCGTTGTTAAAGGAGGAAGACAAAAGCTTTTTTTTCAGTGGCTCACACCCCTTCAGCTTTCCCTTTTTTCTGTCTAATGAGAAGAAAAGAGTGCAAGAATGGTTGTCTGGCCCCGAGCAGGATGAGATCTGACTCTTTTATTTATTTTTTTAGCAAGAACTGATATAAAAGGTTTACCGAACTCTTCAACTTGCTTATCTTGAGAAAACAACAAGATGACCAGACAGCAACATAATTAATCAAAAACTCTTCAAACTGTTAACTATTGTAATGAAAGTGTGTATTGACACCCCATATCAAAGAAAGGATAAAAGGGTGCTGGCATGAATTAAAAATTCACCTTTATTTTCAAAATGCACATTATTGATCTTTTTCTGATTAATCACCCTTATACTGTATGTCCCCATAATTTTTAATCAAAATGTCATAATCTTCCAGTGAACTGACAGACTTCTCTCTGTTGATCTATGCCAGCATTCTCCAATCATTTAATCTGCTTAAACCCCGACACTCCACAATAAACTGCATTTATTTTTGAGTGCAACACCCACATATCAAACTTCAATTAATGGCTACTGTATAGAACCAAGTCCACATCTTGCATTTATTTTCTTTTTCGCTAGTCCATACACTCAGATGATGTACCGTATGTCACAGAAGAAAATATCTGTTGCTGCTGCTGATTTGTCGCAACTGTTATACCAACATTAAATATACAGTACCTACTAGAAAGCAGATGTTTAGTTGAAGAACACCAATTGAGAAGACCAAATATCCAAAACCATCTAAAACTGGTTTGCTGGTCTAGCCTAGACTGGCTAACCCAGCTAATAAAAATATGTTCAAAGAACATTTTGCTAAAGTTTCCATAAAATTTTAAAAACATTATTTCTGAATGTTCTCTGAACGTTCAAAATGTCCAAAAGGTTATGTGAACATTAAGGGTACATTACATTTTCAAACATTATGGTGGTTACTTTTGAATGTTTTCTTCTGAATTCATTTAAAAATGTTAGATTGGTGTCCATCTAAAATGTTTCAAGAAAAATTTTTCTATGAATAAAGTTTTTGTGCTGATGTTTTGAGAACGTTATTAAAGACCAAATAATGAATGAACGAACATTCTATTAGCGTTACTGGAAGAAAGTTTGTTCATAACTTGAAAGAACCTTTTCAGAACTTGCTGAAGTTCTGAGAATGTTCCCTGTTAGCTAGGAAGCAGGAGCTCTGCTTGTTTATCTTTGTTGATGTGTGCCCAAATCCCCTTTAAAAACAGCCTAGCCTAGCCCAGAGACTACATTAGACCAGCAACCTGCAGGGTTTTTTTTATGTTTTTTTTCTTCAGCAAGGTTGGTGGCAGTTAAGCACAAGTCTAGTGGAAGTTAGCAAAACAGCTGACTTTACCTCAGATTTGAGGAATTGTTTACACATTGTAGCGTAGTCAAATCCAGTCCGCCGAGTACATGTGTACATACTTCAGTTATTTACCTGTGCGAATAGTCTTCTGCTGTTTGCACTGTGCTCCACTGAGCTTTTAAGCATGTGTGTATTTTCAGCTGTAGCATATGTCCATGTTGTGTGTGAGCTTTAATGATAAATGAAGTTGGTGCTTTGTAAAAGCCCAGTGGAAAGTGATAGCTAAGGAAATGACTGGCTGCTCATATTGAATGGAGGCTAAGTCATTATCACAGTCTCTGTGTGGGAAGAGGCTTTGTGCTTTTCTCTTGCCAATGCTGGAACCTTCTCTTTACCACCTTACCCACTGTGCTAACTTAACCCTACATTCTTTCATCATCTCATTTACCTTCCATGTATCCTCACATTTTGCCCTCTTAGCCAATCCTCCCTAATTCAAAGTTCATTAAGCCAAGCAAAGTTAGAGGAGTTGTTTTGCAGTTCTCACAAGTTCCTGTCCAACTTGATCGGCGCAGTCAGCGCATGTGTCAGCTAGCAGTGCTATAGCACTGTGTTTAATGTAGTGCACTAAATATGAAATTGCATGTGATGTGCAATGAGCAAAAGACAGAATCCGAATGCTTATGGTTAATCAAATATACGCTGAGTAACTCGGCAGGAAATTGAGATGACAGCTGTGAGCAATGGCATCGGCCGCTTTATGTGTGAAGTCAGCAGCTAAAGCCTTTCAGATTGAAAGAGTCAGATCATAATAAACCGATGTCACGTTCTCTTGCGATACAGTGTTGCGCATTTCGCAAGTCATGTATTCTCCTGGGCCTCCTAATTGCCAAAGGAACCGAGATTAAACACTCGGGTGATTATGAATTCGCTAATTAAATTAGTTGCGGACATACAGTACAGCAAAAAAAGCTTTGTTATCATTGTTGAATTCAATTAAAAAATATTGGCAGATAATTTAGCTGAAATTTGTCAGACAAATGTAATAGCATTATATTTACACCCACAGAAAATCGACTGTAGTCCCTTAAAAGGGACGATCCCATGGCATCATAATTGCTGTGAAAATAGAGGGAGGATGTATTTCTTGTTGTGAGCAAAGGTGACATGATTCAGAATGCTGAAGTGTTTTGTGTGTGCCCCTTTTCAACAGGCCTATTAAACCTGGAGGTGTTACTGCGACAGTTTCTCATCTCCAAGGAAACCCTTTCCGTTCGCATGTTAGATGACAGCCAGGATCCCACCCCCCTTCTCAAGGAGATCCGCGATGACAAGACTGCCACTATCATAGTGGATGCCAACGCCACCATGTCTCACATTATTTTGGAAAGGGTACGTCTCAGCTTGACAGTCGGCCTGTTGTGCAAAACAAAAATCATTATTTTTGTCTAAATAACCATGAAACAAGATCAATTTAATTAAATCAAAAGCATTAAATTAATTAAAACCACATTTGTGCAATGTAATTAGATATTACCATTATTTATTTTTCTTTTCCAGTGAGGTAAAATTGAATGTATTTTCACTAAAAACACATTTCAATATTTTGTGAAATTCTTCTCAAGTAAACTTGTCTTGTTTAGGGTTGTTTAGTATTTTTTTAATTGAAAACAAGACAAAAAAACTGATTGGTAAAATGGTTTTAGCAGCATATCCCATGGATAAAAAAGGTAACTGCGACTTTATATCTCACAATTCAGACTTTTCTTCTCAGAAATGCAAGTTTATATCTCACAGTTGCAAGTTAACATCTTACAGTTGTGACTTTTTTCTCAGAATTATATATATAGAAAGTTTATATCCCAATTATGAAAAAGAATTAAAGAATTAGAGATAAAAAGTTCGCAATTACATTTTTTATTTTTTTACTACATGGTACATGGAAGCTTTTACAATAGGATGGAATGTGTTGAGAGAGATGTGCTGCAAAAATGACTAATCAGTTAACTAATAATTTTTGTTATTTTTTCAATTAAATAAATGTAAATGATAATAAACGAGAATATATGTGTGTGTGTGTTTGTGTGTGTGTGTGTGTGTGTGTGTGTGTGTATTAGGGCTGGATATTTAATGCGTTAATTAGATTAATTAATTACGGCGAAAAATTACGCGTTAAAATTATTATGCATTTAACACACTTGCCCCGTCCCAGACCTACGTGGGTCGTCTGAGCCTAGAGAACGTTGTTAGAATGTCCCTAAAATTCAAGACATGGGGCAAAAATGCCTGTTTGAGCTTTTATCTCATATTTACATCATATAGTTAAGCAATATCACATAAGCAATAATTGCAATATCACATGAGTGCAAATGTGATACTGATTTTATACAACAGTTCAATAAATAAGAAGTTAATACTGTGTTATTTTAGACACAATGTTGTCTGTTTTGCTCAGTTTTGCAAACGAAAATATAAAGACAAAGCAGAACTGTTCGTCTCCGAGCAACACACAGCTGCATTTCATTTCTTAATCCACATTTTGAATGAATTGGGTGAACCATTAGGCTCGTTGGATTTCAAGCGGCGCTGCACAGATCGATCGGTGTATGACATCAAATGTACTACAAGAGCGATTCAAAAGCATGCAGAGCCATCTGCTCTCAAAACTCACAATTCTGAGGAAAAAAATGTTTTTGAAACTTCCTATGAATCGTGCAAATTTGAGAAAAAAATAACTGTGAGATATAAAGTCATAATTTTCAGAAATAAGCTTCCATAGGATCTCCATACATCCAAGGTTTGCAAAAATATGAGTAAAAGGCTATGATCATGTAATTATAAGCTGAAAATAGTTTGCTATTACTATTTAAATGATAGATCTGGATGTCAATGACCTTGAGTCTCAGAATAAAATTAACAATCGCTCATGAAGATGGAAGAATATAATGATGCCATTAAGCTATATAAGTAAGTGTTCCACTAGATTCTCAGTGTAGCATTATTCTAATGACCTTTTGTTCATGTGTTTTTTAAGTGTAAGAGTTAAATATAATAGTTAATAATTCATCCATCCCTTGAACTCAGTTGGAGCCTGTTGCTCCTCATTTGTAAGACTGACACTTATGAACTGTAGTAAGTAAATCTTTCTTTCTGACACATTCAATGCAAATGAATATGAACATACATGGATGCGGCCTCATGACTGAGTAATTCAGTAATCAATTGTATTAATGATTCAGTGATAAAAATCTGTTATTTTCTGCCACCTGCTGGCGAATTTTGTTTCATTTTTAACATATAATTTCAGTTATTTAAATGATTTAATATTTCTGTATTCAAAATTTTATATTTAAAACATTAATCTCCACATGAATTTATGAATTTAATTGCACTCATGCCACCTCTGAGCCTCACTGAACGTAATGTGGAGGAGATGATCAGTTTACGTCTGTTGATCTGAGGCGCTACAGCGATCTGTCACTCCACATTAAACAGCGCCTTCTGTGCCACCTCTGTAGTACAAAATATTTTTTTATTATTACTAATTTCATATGATTGGTTACTTATTTGTCTTATTCCACTTCTTATTATATTGAAATCACTCATTATACATGACCATTCACGCCCCCTCGCATATTCCTTTTCTACACAAAAAGTGTCTTAGAAAATTTAAATCAATATATTGTTTTCTGTGAGTGAGTAAACAAGATGATTTTCACATCATTCTGATGAAAAAATTCTAGACTTCAAGATCTGTTCTCAATAGTCCTGTGAACAAATGTTCTGTATGTGTTTTATGGCCTTATTTCAGTGACTTTAAAATTTTAGTTTTTCACTAAGCACGCATAAACGTTGTTTTCTCAAAAACACAATCACATACATACATGCTGCTCACATATTATTGTAGCCCAGTTTGTGCTGATTATGGTGCTACTAAACTTAGTCATTAAAATGTTTATTAGCAACTGAAAAAAGCACAAATGTCAGGACATGTCAAAACTTCTCCAGGGCCCAAAACACCCTCAGACCCCAGAGGGTTAATGTTATTTATATGTTATTTATTATTCAGTATTAATATTTATTATTTATTTATTTTAGCTATTTGCCAAGGCAACATTTCTCAATTTAATTTAGTTTAACCCGATGTGCTAAAACTAAAACTTCAATAAAAATTTAAATATATAAATGGAAAATATAAGAAAACTATAATACTTAATGTCAATGATGCTAAAATAACACTGGCTCAGGAAAAACTGTGTTTATAAAGAGGGTTCAAACGTCATAACATCTCATAATAACCACAAGCCCATTTCTGCTCATGTTGTTCTCTTCTCTTCTCCTCTTCTCTTCTCTTCTCTTCTCTTCTCTTCTCTTCTCTTCTCTTCTCTTCTCTTCTCTTCTCTTCTCTTCTCTTCTCTTCTCTTCTCTTCTCTGTCTTGACTCAGTTTGTCTCTTCTCATGTTATCTCGACTCTTCTCTGCTCATTTCATCTAATCTTGTTCTTTTCATACATTTCAGCCAATGGTTATCCATTTTTCCTCCCTATTCACACCATTGCTCTTTAATCAAAGTGTCTGATGACTATCACAGGTCTTTCCTTGTTGCTATGGAGACAGGGACAAGAACGCCACTGTTACACCGGTGGGTTGCACGGTTCACAGTTGGGTTCCTTGTCAGTTTGTCACCCATACTATGTTTCTCATACCCCCTTGAACCCATCTCTTTCTCTCTCGCTCTCTCTCTTTCTCTCTCTCTGTATTTCTCGCTGTCTCTGTTTTATCCATTCACATCTTCCCTTCATGTTTCCCTGTTCCTCTCTCTCTCTCTCTCTGGATCTATATGGAGCGAGCATGCAGCAGAGCTGTGGAAAGTTGGCACTCATTCAGGTTGTGAGGAGCGAGTGTAGGGCAAGCATGCTAGAGCTGTTTGCCAATGTTCACAGCACGGCTCACACACCAGCTTGAGTTACAGGATTCAATTACATGGGCAATTGCAGGGAAAATCTTTCATTATAAAATATTTACGCAAGGACAAAATCATCATAACCTGGAAAAACTCTCCGCTCCTGTGGTCCATTTTCTCCCTCTCTCTCTCTTTTTAACACGACACTGGTCAAATGAAATGCAGATGGGCATTACGGGACGCTAGGCAGGGAGTCTGGGTGTGTATAAGTGCAATAATACAGATGCTGCTTTGAACTGTAGTGCAACCACTAGAGAACAGGTGTCTAGGAGTGCTGTGTTAGCATGACTTGCGCTCTAAAATGTAGGAACAAAGCCGGGAGTTTGGGAAGTTCAAATCTGGTACTTCCGCTACCGTCAGCAGATCTGAGGCATCTACAAATTATGCTTTGCCACATAAGTTGTACATGTCAAACAGGTCGGAAGGAACATAACTTTGGGGCTGTGCCATTAATAATGTTCAAACAAAAAAGTTTAGAGGGCACATTTTGAAGAAGGGATGAGCACAATTCTTAATTTCAAGTCTAGAAAAACTGTTCAGTGGGTTGCCTGAGTGACTAGTCAGTTAATCAGCCTTAAGGAAGTCATGTACACTACTGTTCAAAAGTTTTGGCAATGGTATAAGATTTTTTAAATAATGTTCTTGAAAGAAAGGTCACACTTTATTTTAAGGTCCAGTTCTCACTATTAACAAGCAATTAACTACAACTTTGCCTCAATAAACTCATAATTTGCTGCTTAGTAATAGTTAGTTAGGTAGTTGTTATGTTTAGGTATTGGGTAGGATTAGGGATGTAGAATATGGTCATGCAGAATATATGCTTTGTAAGTACTAATAAACAGCCAATATGTTAATAATACGGTATGCTAATAAGAAACTTATTAATAGTGAGAATTGGTCCCTATACTTAAGTGTTACTGAAAGCAATTTCTTATGCTCACTAAGGCTGCATTTATTTATTTATTTAAAATACAGCAAAAACAGTAATATTGTAAATTATTATAATGATAACATTTTTTCTATTTTAATATATTTTCAAATGTAATTTATTTCCATGGAGTAAGACTCCAGTCTTCAGTTTCACATGATCCTTCAGAAATCATTCTAAGGTGCTGATTTGTTGCTCAAGAAATGTGTGTGTGTGTGTGTGAATTTTTCAGGATTCTTTGATGAATAAAAAGTTCAAAAGAACAGCTTTTTATTTTAAATAGAAGTCTTTTGTAACATTATAAATATATTTACTGTCACTTTTGGTCAATTTAATTATTCCTTGTTAAATTTTTAAAAAAATATATATTGAAAAATAAATCTTACTGTTCCCAAATTTTAAAGGCTATAGTGAATAATGTTTTTTAACTGCCTTTAAATTTTAACCATCCCAAAATGGTGCAAAATGCATCTCAACAGTCAAAGATGTCTATCCAGTGTAGTTGTAGTAGTAATAGTGATGATGGAAATAAAATGTAATTATTATTTTCAAAGTAACCAGGAAAAAAAAAATGAGCCAAAATTTTAATCAACCACTGTGATTCCTACCCTATTCTGCAGTGCACAATAACTAAAAATAAATCTGTGTATGCACTGTATGGCTTGAGGTTATTGATCATGGCTGCAATGTTAATGAAAAGATCTGCAAGAGCAGTTTTGGAGAGATTATTTGTGAGACCTATAATAATTACCAAGTTACTTCATTGTTCTTTTTGTTCTAGGAAGTGTAATTATATTTCACTGCCAGTTATTCCTGATCAATATATTTTTAATTAATTATTTAACAATTTTCTCTGCTATAGAAAGAAGACCAACACGCCCAACCGCTCAGTCTATTTCCCTCTCGTGCATTTATTGTACTCTAAACTGTCCCTTTTACTCAGTTTTCTCTCCGTTTCCATAGAAATAATTGTTGAAAGTGTTTTCACCCCTGACATTTGATTGACATATTATATTTGCTGCTTGGTTTCCTTGGAGACATTGGAGAATTGATAAATAGAATGGCAATGACAGAACGGGAATGTTGTCTGTCTTTTGTTAGCTTTCATCCAACTCTGAACAGGTTTTACAAAGCAGTGAACCTTGCCTTTTGCTTCTCAATGCCGGCAATGCAGAGCGCGGATTTAGTCTTAGTAGCTGTTTAATTTAGTCTAGCACTGTCAAAAGTGTTTAATGGAGCTCTCTCTTCTCTTTTATCTTCCAGGCCTCAGAGTTGGGGATGCTGTCAGTGTACTACACCTACATCCTGACTTCCTTGGTGAGAGAATTTAAGTCTGATGCTCTCTATTCCAAGAGTTTTTTTAAGCACATGCCTGTCAAATATAAAGTAAAGAAGTCGAGTTTAATTTTTCCTCCCACATTAGAATGTAAAATTATAGTATACATTAAATATATATACATTTTATTTTACATTTTAATATGAGAGGGACAATTTAGTTAACTGCTTAAATTTGGCTTCTTGGTTGGAAGTTAACACAGTATTGTTTTATGCGTAAAATTGAAAATCTGAGAGTAAATGGCTAATGATGAGGCTAAAACCACACTGAAATCAAGCGTAAAGTGGTGCAGCACTTGCACTGATTTTTTTTCCTGAGTTGATTCAAGGATCCTATAAACAGTATCTTTGATGTTTCCTTTTCAATCTTTCTGTTTCACACTGATGTGCGCTAGAAATAACAAACCAGGATGGATTTTTCAAAACTTTTTCATCCGATACGGCTTTAAGTTCAGAGCGCTTTAAGAGCAGCCACTCAGCATGGAACAAACTGCCACACTTCAACACACTCCAACCTAATTTAAAGAAGCCACTTCATTTCCCCACACTGCTTTCCTTCGCTTATTTAGTCTCTCCTGTCGCCATCGTTCATGCGTCCAACACGCCAACGCCACACCGTCCTCCCATCCGCATGCTGGTGTTTCATTACACCATTATCACAGTGTGAAAAAGGCCTGTCAAAAACGCACTACATCCATCAGAAAGCCAGTAATCAGTAAATGACTCAGAGAGAGCTCTTCAGCCTTTGCTCTGGCCACACTCTGGGGAGTAATGAAGCACTGCGGTGCTGCAGGTACATGGAGGCAGTGGCGGAGCCAGGATGTTTTTATAGGGGTGCCCAGGGAGGGGGTGGCACAGAAATCTTAATTATTTCAATATAAAAATGTCATTGACTATAAAGTATTGGACTGTTTTAGTGCCTAAAACACAACTGAATACCATTCATTTCTACTAAATTGTAATTGAGATATTTGTGAATTAGATCAAGTAATGCTGAGTGAATATGACAATTTGTGTATTATTCCCCACCTCCAGGTATTTTGATAAAGAGGCTCATTATAGCTTTATTGCTCAGTCAGCTTGGTTCTGGTTCTCAAAACTACCAGAAGCTTGTTCTCCATCATTGTATACTCATGGATGAGACATGCAGATAGTGATAAGAATTGGTTAGTAAAAAAAAAGAAAAGAAAAAAGGCCGAAAGTCAACATCACATAAATGCCAGAATGTAAAATTAGTTATTGTATGCATTTAAATGGTTTCATTTTCGTTTATACTTTACAAAAAAAAAAAAAAAGTGCATGTTTTCTAGTCTAAGTGCACTGTGTTCATATTTACTTGTTCATTAAAATACAAAAAAAAAAACATCAGCTTGCGCCTTATATTGTGATCTCGAATTGCACAATATTTTAGTACATGCATTTTAGAGACGTTCTTTAATGTGATGCTATACATGCATGAATGCACTAATCGCCTTTTTGGTAACTTCATGGCTTAACTGATGACAGAACTACATTGTGTGTTCATAGTTTCTTGTTAGCTTTATTTATGATGATAGAGCGTGCGCCTTATATTTGCGTAAAGTTGAAGAGTGTGCACCACCCTGGCTCCGCCCCTGCATGGAGGAATTACTGAAACCCTTTGTATGGTGATATGGGCACCTTTGGTTATAGCTGACATGTTGCAAAGTCTCATGGTTAATCCAGCAAGGTGTGTGTTCAACAGGTACCAAAGATGGAGAAATATGGCGACGACAACAATGGAAGTCTCAATTTTCAGTTAAAAGCACCAATATAGATCAGAACATTAGATCAGGAAGAACATTCAGTGGACCAGTCTAAGAAAAAAAAAGTAAAATAGGGTATTGTTGTAAAATTTTACTGTTGATGGAAATGCAGGGGTTTATTTCATTATTAGCTTATCAACAAATGTAAAATTTAAATAAACAAAATGAAGGTGCACAATTAATTCAAATAAAACTGAAATTGCAATATAATAAATATTCTTTTAGATATATAGATATAATGATTATTAGCTTATCATCAAATGTCAAATTAAAATTAAGAAATGGGGCTGCACAATTCATTAAAATAAAACTGAAATTGCAATATAATTTATAAATATACTTAGATATATGCTTAAAAATACTTACATATATAGATATAGTTTTCATAATTGTCACATTGCAGTTTAAATCACAATCATATATGACAAAATAATTCCAATATAATTTTTTGGCAATGTTGTGCAGCCCTACATGTATATAAAGAATCTAAAAAAATAAAACCAATCAAAATAAAACACTTACTAAAAAAAAAATATTTTTTCTGTTTACTTGCAAGCCATGTTACCTCAGAACTGAACATTGCATTATTGCATTATAACAATATTAATTCTCAGATGGTACTTCAAGTAAATAGTTCACATAGGTTTTCAGCTGACAAAAAACTTTGGGAACCTCTGACCGAAAAAGTAGCTGGCTGAAGGCCTTGCCAAGATGGAAGCAAAACTGTCTTGCCTCCATTTTTAAACAAACTCAGAAAAGAACTAGATGGATGAATGGATGGCCTCTTTAGATGTAGAGGAGACCTTAGGCACTTTAAGAGATCGAATCGGTTTGCTGATAAGCGAGTCCAATTTATGACTGTGCTGGGGGCGGGGCATTTTTCAAAGGCAATTTTTGATCGAGCTGCGAGCCGAGGCCAAAACATCCCACCCACACATGGCTTTACATCTCTGTCATCTCACCTGAATCTATCTGTCTTGGGAATAATTCAAGTCCCCGTGGGATCTTGGCTCAGATATATTGTTTCTGTACATTACAGCAGCTACAGCGTTTCGCAGCGAATGTAAATCAGGACTTCACAGTGTCCAGACAAGCTTGTGAATCACGCTCACCTGCTGCTTGTGAATAATTTTGAGGAATCAGTCATTAGTTGTGACCGCATATATACAAACCTTTTCCAAAAGTGTACTTTTCTAGTGCAGTTATTTATCATGTGCAATGCGCTTTGCTATCTTTGCTATTCTCATGTCGTTTCAAACAATATGACTTTCTTCTGTAAAACTTGAAGATAGTTTTTGAAATTGATTCTTTTATGAAATACATACAGTATGTATATATATATATATATATATATATATATATATATCATACATATTTTTGCTTATTTTGGTACATGGATGTCATCTTGGCAACTCCAGGCATCTATTTTTTGTAGATATTAGGCATACAAGTATCGATCATGTCTGATAGGGAAAGGCCAAAATCTTTAAAACTGTTGGTTAAGTGTATATTTCTATTATATATTTCATAAATCAGCAATGAAATCTTACAAACCCAATTCCAAAAAAGTTGGGACACTGTACAAATTGTGAGTAAGGGCCTTTAAATTTTGTCTTGACGGGGCTTTGGAGTAAAAAAATTTGACGTCTACAAATCTAAAGTACACTGAGAAGATGATTAGGTCTATGTACTTGGACAGGGAATGATTAAAATCTCCAAAACTGTTTGTTTCAATATTATATTTCATAAATCAGCAATACAATCTGACAACAATGCTATTATTTTGCATCTTTAGCTAAAATTATTATTTTTTAAGTACATGTGGTAATTAAAAATAAAAACTACCACATGTTCTAGAGAGCCCCATTTTTTTGTCTTTGATCTCATCTCCATCTCTGGCTCCATCCAGTACAGTTTCCAGCTTGCTCTTTTCAGAAACTTCACTTTTCAGACCTTACATGTCAATTCCAATCTCGTCCTCATTATCACGCAGGAAGAGAAGAGCTACCGCTGCTATGAAACGTCCCTGTAATTTGATACAACATCCTTCCCCCTCTTCGTTAGAGATCGGGTTCAGTAGGTTAATTGCAATAATGAAAGGAAAGGAGCGAAGCCATTTTGCTCTAATTACTAGATGTATTCTCTCTGGTGGTGACTGCCGTACAGGTGAACAGTAAAGGGATTGTTGCTTTGTGATTTGTGCAAGCAATAACACTTTGCAGAGTGAAGAACGTTTTCATCTGTGTTTGACTGTCACCCAGGGATTCAGCTGTTGTGCTGCGTTTAAATGGAAGAGGTGTGTCAGCGAGACCAACGTGCCTGAGAGATCTGCTTTTATTAAACAATCTCTGCAGATCAGAAAGTTCACATTGACATATCTGACATTTCTGCAAAAGTTCTCAGATAACATTGTTTTTCACAAATGCATCGACGCGTTCTTGACACATCTGTTGAAACACATGCAACAGATTGCGTTCCCTCATCACATGTGTTGCCGATCCAGAGTAGAGCATGTGATGAGAAAAATTGATGAAGGTCCCTCATACTCGGTTCATGGGTGTAATTATAGACTTCCTTTTGAAGAAGACATTATAAACCCCAGGTTTAGATTAATTGCATAATAACCACAAGCATTACAAAGAAAGACATTTTGTTTGTGGGGGTTTTTCTACCTTAACAAGAATTATGAAAGAGACAATCATATAGGCAAATTTTGTCATTTTTATGCTCTGGACTTACAATCCTGTACTTCAAGTATAGCCTGTTTTTGACAGAGTGTAATAACATGAGAAGTCGGGTCATTAGCACTGGCTACATTCTTGTCTTTTTAAGGTAGACATACTCTAAACAGATGTTTTTTGACAGCTGCGATGCATCTCGCTATTAGCACTTTGTACCATGAGTTTCTGAATCCAAAAATGACCATTCTGTCATCATTTACTCACCCTCATGTCATTCCAAATCTGTATGACTGGCTTTCACAACCCAAAAGAAGAAAAATATATATTTTCTGTCTGTACAATTAAAGTCAGCGGGGAACAGTGTTGTTTTGGACCCCAGTGGCTTTAACTGTACGGACAAAAATGATTGAAACAATCTCCAAAATATCTTTTTGTTTGTGTTCTGCAGGAGAAAGAAGTTCTAAAGATTTAGATTGACATGAAGGTGAATAAATGATGACAGAAAGGGAGAACTATT